TTTAGTTTATTATATATATATATATATATATATATATATAGAAAAAGACCTTCTAAAAACATTAAAATGTATTACTGGCACACGAAACCTTAAATTAGAGTGAATAAATGAAGACTTGGCACACCGCTTCTGAAAGGTTGCCGACCCCTATATTAGTGGGTCAGGGCCACAGAACTACCTGGGTAGAAACTAATAACTTGAATATTTAAAGTTTGTTTTCAAACAACAAAATACAAAACAGAATTAGTTCAAAAGTCCTATCTTACCAGAAGATGAAACAGTTCCCTCATCTCGGTCATGTTTCTCATGCCATTCCATTGTTCGATAATAACTGAGCATGACTTCCCAGAGTGCTTTGCAGAGGTCAGCAAGACATGGAATGTAGCTGTCTGATGTAATATGCTACAAAAAAGAAAAAGTTAGGCCTGTGAGAAAACTAACAGTTTGGCTCAGTTTTCCGAATAAACAAAAGAAGAAGCTGTTCTGCCATTGGTTACCCAACATAGGATTGTGAAGTGCTTAATATTTACAAGTTTTAGTTTCAAATAGAAGTGTTTGACAGAGTTGCTTTAGGTCTTATATTGGTTGCAGAACAGATACAATACAAACTGCACCATTAAAAGTTTACACAGTCATTCCTGTTTTGGAGGGGAATACATCAATCTGTGAATGTCCACGCAATGATTGGCTCTCTACAAGGACTAATTTGTTGAGATGCTGGTTTTGATATTTGGACCACTGTTCACTAGAAACTGGACCAAGGCCAAACATTTATTTCACATGTATTTATCCTAATTGTATCTCTAGCACAGTCAGAATAAAAAGGGAGGCAGCGTGGTCTATTGGAAAGGGTACAGGACAGAGTTTGGAGATCTAGACTCTGCCCCTGGTTCCGCTATTGGTCCACTGGGTGACCTTGCTGGACAGATTACTTTCTCTCTCTGTGCCTCTGTTTCCTCTCTCACCCCTTTTCCTGCCTTGTCTATTTAGAGTGTAAGCTCCTCAAAGCAGGTTTTGTCTCTCTGCGTTTGCACAGTGCTCAGCACAATGGGGCCCCTATCTCGGTTAAAGGCTCTGGGCACCACAGTAATTAAATTATTTCAAATATGTGCAGTAGCACCTCGAGGCCAACTTGATTTGGGACCAAACTGTCCAGATTGAAGGCTAAGCAAAACCCCCTCAAAGACTGACATTTGTGTTTCAAGATTTCATTGGAGAGCAGACCATCAACCTCATAAAAAGGCTTTAATTGAATACACCACCTATTTATACACTGGGGTTATGCAGCAAGAAACCAAATACATTCATCTCCTCAAATTCAGCGCCTATTTGGTAAGGGCCAGCAGGGAGAGCACAGAGATCATGCAATATATATGATGATAAACTCATCGTTCCGATTCATTTGCTGTCAAGAGGCAAAGCCTTAGAGCTGGATGAAAATTTGAAAGAATGTGTCTGATTGAGTCTGCATTTTAGAGTGCTGTTGCTTTATGATGTTCATGGTTTAATGTTCCCAGCTAGGCCTGAAATTAACACTTAAATTAGGTGAATCGAGTTGTGGTGAGTAGTTCATACATTTTTGCTATTTCTTTACCCAAAGTCAAACACTAGAATTACTTTGCAAAGCCTACTATGTTTTCACTATACTCCTTCATTAGCCACCTACAAAGTAACTTTTAATTCTCAGTGAAGTTTGTTCAATGCCTGTACAAGGCTTCGAACATATGGAGGTACCCACTCACGTAAAAATCAATGTGTCAAAGCCTTGGCCATTCTGTTTTAAACAAACAGAATAATGGACTCCTATCCAAATTACCAAATACTATATACACAGGGCTAAAACCTTAGCACCAGTTTCACTCCAAGGGATTCACATCTTTTGATTATCTATTGATTGTTTGTGGTTTCCTAACATTGAAAGTCCTTAGTGGTCAAAGGAAGTTTGAAGAAAAAGAGGGTAATCATTTGAAAATTAAGTGTGGTTTGATAGCAAATACTAAACTGGAGAGATATACAAATAAATATATGTGGAGGTTACTTAAGCCTTTCCCTTTTCTCAACTTTATCAGAAAGAATTATAATCTGAAATGGAAGCATACTTTTATTTTCTACTCAATCATGTTCACTTGTCTCTATCACTGAGTAATATTCCTGGTTTTAACACACACTGCTCAGGCCATTCATATTCACTTATACTCTGCCAGTGATTAAATACTCATGAGGATCATTCTTCAGAGTTGATATCTGTCCCTGGTGAAAGTATCTTGAGACCTCATATTAATCATTAAGTCTTTCTCAGCTTTTTTATTATTAATGTTAATTCTGGGCAGATTTCATATCAAGTCAACAGAATTGCACAGTGTAAATAAGTGGGGCACCTCCGAGTACAATCTCCAACAACCATACTGCCATCAAATACTAAGTTTTAGCACTAGTCCGCTCTAAAACATGAAGAAAAGATGGCACTGTATTTCAGATAGCAGAAAAAGACTCCTGCTGATGTTATTCACTAACATATCATAGACACTATATATATTGCCAAAACTAAGAGCAAAATTTTGTAGTATTATATTTTATTTATATTAAATTGCTACCAGATACTTAACACAATATTAACAATGATGGGGAAAGAATATAGGGAAAGAACAGGTTAAAAAATATTTAAACGAGTTAGCCGTAATCAAGTTGGCAGGCCCTGATCAAATTCATCCCAGGGTACATAAGGGACTAGCTGACGCTATCTTGGAACTGTTAGTGATTATCTTTGAGAACTCCTGGAGGACAGTTGAGGTCCCGGAGGACTGGAGAAGAAACAACATAGTACCTATATCTTTAAAAGGGGGAACAAAGATGACCCAGGGATCTGTAGATCAGAAGGTCTGACTTTGATACCTGGAAAGATATTGGAACAAATTATCACCAATATGTAACCACCTATAGGATATGTGTTAAGTAATATCCAACATGAATTTGGCAAGAATAATGCCAAACCAACCTAGTTTCCTTCTTTGACAGAGTTACTGGCCTAGTGGATAGGGGGAAGCTGTAGATGTGATATATATCCTGATTTTAGTAAGGCTTTTCACAGTTTCACATGACACTAAAACTAAACTAAAAAAAACGTGCTCTAGGTGAAATTACTATAAGGCCATACTCAAAGAGTAGTTATCAAGAGTTCACTGTTAAACTGGGGAGACGTATCAAGCAGGGTCACATAGAGGCTTGTCCTGGGTCCGGTACTATTCAATATTTTCATTAATGACCTAGATAACAGAAATCTGCAGGTGACACCAGCTGGGAGGGGTTGCTGACACTTTAGATGACAGGATTAGAATTCAAAATGATCTTAAATTGGAGAATTGGTCTGAATTCAACAAGATGAAATTAAATAAAGACAAGTGCAATATACTACACTTAAGAAGAAAAAAAATCAAATGCACAGCTACAAAATGGCGAAAAACTGGCTAGTGGTAGTATGGTTGAAAAGGATCTGGGGGTTATAGTGCATCACAAAGTGATGAGTCAACAATGTGATTCAGTTGCAAAAAAGGCCCTACAATTCTGTCATTTATGATTTTGCCTAACTCAGCAAGCTACCCTGCCATTTCAATTGGCTGTGTCATTCTCTATTACCTCCCCTAAATGGTTATGTAAGTTGCTCTGCGCTGCTAAAAATAGCTATATTCCACATCAAAACTGGCTGCATTTCATTTGTGAGGGGATACAGAATAATTTGGATTGATTTGTGCCATATGAATGTAAATGATCTTTCAAAACTATAATGTTACTTCAAACAGTATTCATACATTAGTGCTTTAGACAGTTTAATGTGCTCCTGACATAATGAATTCTCAAGGTGGTCATGCATTACAAGAAACATAATCCAGTTTGATTGAATAAATCCATATAAATAGCACTTAGCATGTGGGGAACCATGCTGGTCCATTCACTGACCAGTAACCATAGTGCTTCTAGCGTAGTTGGCAAGAACCAATATAAAAACATACTGAGAAACAGTGAACTAAGAACAAAAACTTAAATCTTTCAGATCTCTACATGGAGATGTTTCAACTTCAAGACAGCCAGCAAGCTTAGACAGAAGACAACAGTACTGATTAGGTCCCAAAATAAATCCATTTTCACAAGGCAGATAAGTAAAATGAACAGCTGAATTTCTTTGAACTAGGCTCAGGGAAACAAAAATAAATATATAGGGAACATCTCTCAAAGCCTGTCTGCTGCAGAGCTAATCAACAGGAAAGAAGGATGGGTAACAGTTCGGACAGAACATGCCCGCAGAACAAACAAGCTCAGCAAGGAAGTTAATTGAACGACAGTTAAAAGGAGACTGGCTTGCAATATGCTATACATGGCCAAGAACCAGAGAAGAGAAAATAATGCTTTTGTACATTAGCATGCAATCAAACCTGACTTCTGAACAAAACAGAGTCAAGTATACATATAAAATAAATAGATAGTATACATTATGGTAGATTCAGTGCAAAATACAGAAACACTTTAGCATTCCATATACAGGCTTCACTGACGTTTTATAGACAGGATTTTTTAGTGGTAAAAAACCATTACATCATAGAACATGAATTCAGGAAATTTTGAAAACAGTTTCTCAAGTGTGGATATTCACATCTGGGACTCCAACAGTCACTATTCAAGAATGACAAGAGTACTTTTAAGGAATCTGCAAGTGCCATCACAGCATCCTAAAACTATTGATTCGGCATAAGTTTTTGTTATGCAAGCAAATGACCTTGGAGACGTTCTGAATTTCATTCCAAAACACACAACAGAGTCAAATGGGTTCATCAGAAAGATTTCCAGAAAATCACAACAGTAAATCTACTCAAAAGGAAGATTTAAAATGTAATATGACTGAAAATGTTTAATTTGACTAAGCAGCCTGTGGCTGATTAGCTACTTTTATGTAAAAAGTTTCTTGATTTTACATTGTGATGAACATACAGGGTCCTAGCTCTATTAGATACAGACAAATAAAGCTGATTTTTTTAGTCTCAGCCTACTTACTACCTGGCAACCTTGATACAAGTGCTGAATGTAGTGGGTTCCTTTTTATGAGGAAGTGGGAATGAAATAGAATTGCTGTAATGTTCCAGCCTGAAAGTTTTATTCAGTTTTACTTCTCCTATAAAGGTACTGCAACAGGCAATTACATTTAAACCTAACTAGGCCTAGTCAAAGAACTGGTTCCACCAATGGGCAGACTTAGACACCCCATCCTGCAATAGGAATACACCATAAAAGCCTATTGTTTGGGGGTGGGGGGCGTTGAACAGCAAGAGGGTTTGTTTTTTTTAAATCTTAAAAAAAAGTTAACTCTCCGTTGGGAGCTCCAAACCTTGAGTCCAGGGAGAGAAGTAATTGAAGTACCTGGGGAAAGAAGCAACTGAAGTAGACTCAGAGGGGCAGATTTGAAATCCAGAAAGTAACTCAGGAATTGTCAGTCCTGTGGAGGAACAAGGGAAGCCCAATTTTGAGAGACACCTGTTTGTTGGATTTGTATCATTGTTGACTTTTGGCATGAATTAAAGCAATTTTACACTAAGCATTTTGGTCTCAGTACGTTTCTGCAATCATTGTCACACAAAGTCATTCTTTTCATGATTTGTGCAAACGTCCATGTTCAGATGTGGAAATAGAGAGGGGGGGGAAAAGGGTTTCCTTTTGGCTCTCAACCTGAGAATGAGTCTTATTGAAAAAATACATTTCAGTTTTTCATTAGAATATCAAAAAATGAACCAACTAATTGTGCAGCCAACATTTTACAGAATCATTTGAGATACATACCAATACTAGCCTTAATTGTCACTTTGCATTAGGTCCTTGAGATACATAGAATTTACCAAGAAAACGAAAAATGTGTTTCAAGAATTTTAAATCAACATCACACCATATTTAAGAACTATTGCCATATTCATTGTGCCTTAAATATAGGGACATCTTTTGCAGTGCATCAGATCTCTTTATACAGAGATCAGACACTAACCTCTGAAGTGCCACATAACTTGAAAATATCAGCTATTTGCTTTGTTCACAAAGAAAGAAAATAAATTAAGCTAATGACATATGAACCCATGTTGTAATTCAGAGAAGGTAAGCTGTTGTAAGAAAACATGGAATTGAGAATTTCCAGTAACATGCAAATCTTTCTACATAGTAAGCATGTAAGCAGGAGTGGAGGCTACCAACAATAAACAGTTAACAGAGTCTGAAAGAAATTGGACCAGCACATTACTACAGTCTGCAAACAATTAAATTAGGTAGTGTTGCAAATATCAGTGAAGAAAGGGAATCACTACAGAGGACCTTAGAAAGTCTTAGAAGGGAGAGGAAACAGCAGAATTCAACTTTAAAAAGCAATGCTAACAAGTTTTCAAAAAGTTTAAAAAAAAAATCTGAAGTTTAAGAGAATGTAACATGAAAAAGCAGTGGACTTGAAGGAGAGTATAGTCTAGTGCAGGGGTTATCAAACTTCATTGCACCACTACCCCCTCTGACAACAAAAATTACTACACAACCCCAGGATGGAAGACCAAAGCCTGAGCCCCCTGAGCTCCACTGCCCTGGGTGGAGTGATGGAGGGGGAGCGCAAAGCCCGGGTCCCATTGCCCTGGGCAGGGGGAACAAAGCAAAAGCCCAAGCGCTTCAGCCCCAGGCCGGGGGCTTGTAACTTGAGCCCCAGCATCCCAGGCTGAAGCCCTTGGGCTTTGGTTTTGGCCCTGGGCGGTGGGGCTTCGGTTTTGGCCCTGGGCCCCAGCAAGTCTAATGCCAGCCCTGCTGACCCCATTAAAAACAGGGCCCTGACCCACTTTGGGGTCCCGACCCACAGTTTGAGAACCACTGGTCTAGTGAACAGAGCAAGGGATTTAGTGTCTTCATACTTTTTACCATATTGTGCCTCAGTTTATCTGTATAATGGAAATGCCATCCACCATTGGACCCTGCCACTTCTCTACTCCAGCCTTCTGGATGATGGTGGAGGCAGTGAGCTTTATTAGATAAGCCCTCTCTCTCCTCTGAAGGTGCTTTGAAAAGCAGCTTCCCAGCACCACAGATCTTAGGGTCAGTACACCTCTTTACAAAATATATTTTTGGCCTGAAATCAACATGAGTGTCCTATTAAATAAAAAAAATCTTAAATGCAGAAGTGTTTACTGGTTAAAGCTAAGCAACGCCAGAACATTTGAGAAATGAAAGAGCAGCACAATAATCAGCAAAGGAATTTTAATCTTTTTGCTACTATACTGTGATTTAATAGAATGACTGAAAGAGTTGGTCAGAAGTTTGAGTTAGTCAAGGTTTGGTCAAGTGAGAGAATATTTGAGGGCTCAATCTGTGATACACAAATTTCTTTCAGTACCTTCAATCTAGAAACACATTTTCAAGTTTCATGTCAATATCCGGCTGAACTGAAGCACCTCTGAGCTCACTAATTTTCCACTATTTCTTCAAAGAGTACAGACAGCCCCCAGGTTACGCAAACCCAACTTACACAACTCTGCACTTACGGAAAAAGTTCCGTAAGCTAGAAATAGGAGGGTTTTTTGGGGGGTGGGGGAGTTTGGTGTAATTGTCGGGTATACATTTCTGACTTATGCAAAATTTGAGTTACACAAGGCAGGCATGCTTGCATAAGTCAGGGAGCGTCTGTAATGAAATCCCTCAGAGTTTAATGGTATGATAACAAATGAAGCAAGCTAAAAAGTGTATTGAAAGTAGCATTTAAAACAATCATTTTTTCGAATAAAATATTTTTGAGAAAATTCCCAGTAATAGAGGCTATTTATAAATTCATTTAATATTTTGAGGAAAGGAAAACCTTGTAATTGGTTCTCTGTTTTTTAAATAGAATAATATTCTACATCATATGTTCAAGACATTTTAATTTTTTCAAAAGTGAGATATGCACACATACATAGCACAAATACACTGCATGTGCACATGTAAGCGTGCTGATTAAAGGAAAATGTATTGTAATCACATTCTGTAAACCTCCTTTAATCAGACTTTTGAATCTCAGTATTACAGCCATATATGGATCTATCTTTAATTTGTTGGGATTATGGACCTGACTCAAAATTAGGAGAAAAGATTCCTATTTACTTCTATCAGCTTTGGATCAAGCCTTCAGTGCAATGCACTATATTACAGCATTATTCCAACTGAGAGCCTGATCCTGAACTCACTGAAGTCAATGGCAATACCACTATTAATTTCAGTGGGTACAACATCAAGCCCTGAATGCAGCAGTATGAAGTGCTTATCTCCTATTTGTAGTCTGCAATTTCTGTCTCTTTTTTAACACTAATTTAAGTTTGAGTGTATGATCACACTTTTGAATCTCAAAGTACCAAGTATCATCTTAATCCAAACCAACACAGGATTTTGATGGACTAGTCTCTCATTAACTCTATGCAAATTTTATTAAGTAATTGTAATAACAGCTGAAATTAAGATCATTTTAATAATCATAATATCCACATACAATCTTAAAATGAGACATGTTAAAGGTTACAAGCAATGAAAAAAGTATGCAAATACTATGTAAGACAACTATGTTACCACGTACTGTGCAGAGGTCCTTGTACTGTAGCTTCTGAAACTTGGTGTCCGAGTTTCCTGCGCACAGCTCTACGTACCCAAGAACTACTTGAAACACTGTGTTGTGAATGGCTTGAGTGAAGTGCATATGTAGTTGGTCCATCGCTGTCTGAAAAGGAAGGAAAAGCAGAAGAGCATTACATTGGTTGGTTGAGTTCATCTGGTTATCTACTAGACCTTTAGGTCCTTTTCAGAGTCACTGCTTTACAGGACACATTCACCCACCTTGTAAGTGTGACCTACATTCTTTGTTCCTAGATATATAACCTAACATTTGACTCTGTTAAAACATGTTTTGTTCAAATGAGCTCACATTACCATGCAGTCTCAGTGGGTCTTATACTTTCCATCAGTCCCTATCATTATTTACCACTTCAATTTGTGTCATCTACAGTTTTTACCAGCAATTTTATATTTTCTTCCAGATCATTACTAAAGATAGTGAATAGCACTGGAGTGAGTACAGATCCCTGTGGGATCCCACTAGGGAAAAAAAATAATTTGATTTCCCATTTACAATTATTTTCTTAAGATTTATCAGCTAGCCTATTTGTAATCTATTTTCCATGCAATCATGCTGAGTGGCATTAAATATGTTAACACCTTTAATATTTTTACTAATTTCATCCCCTATCAGATTTTCCATTATTTTGCCTGGGATCTAGATCAGGCTAACTACCCTATAGTTTCCTGGGTCTTCCCACTACCCTTTTTAAATACTGGTAAAACATTAGTTTTTCCAGTCCTCTGGAACTTCGAAGATTTTTTTTTTTTAAACAACACAGACACACACACACACACACACACACACACACACACACACACACACACACACACACACACACAACAAACAAAACATTAATGGTTCATAGAACTCCTTAGCCATTCTTTTAATATTCTTGAGTGCAAGTTATCTGGTCCTACAAGAGTTAAAAGTGTTTAACTTTAATAGTTGCCTTTTATGTTCCTCCCCAGTTACTGATGGAAGAGAGTAAGATATGAACGCCATTCTCCTTCTTTCCAAATATAGAACAGAAAAGCAAATAATCAGATCATTTTCACTAAACCTAGCTTGAATTAGATAATCTAAATAGAATGAAAAATGAAAACCTTAAAAAGGTTTGGTACTAAAGTTATCCAAAATAAACAGCAATTAAAATAGGGAGATTTCATTTTGTGCTCTGCAAATACTGAAGTGTTTTTCAGGACAAGTCTAGAATGGACATCTTTAAAATAACAATATAGCCAATACTGCAGTCTCAGTAATGTCAGTTAAGAAAAAAAAGTTCCTGATTTATAATATATGTAAGTTCTAAAATACTATTCGCTGTTTCGTTCTGTTGATCAGAAAACTCACAAGTTAGCCACGTTCATTAAAACATGTTTAATTATTTATGTATGTTTGATTAATTTGCTTATTGACATTTCCCAACATAGCATACATTACACTTTGGAACCACAGATGGGTTATATTTACTTTTGAAGCCTCACATTTAATAAAGGAGTTAATTCTTCCAAATACACTAAAAAATTTATAGACCACCACTGGCACGGGAAAGCTAAATTCATCTTTTTCTTGACACAACTTCTTATGTTAGAGTATTTTAATACTTTTGAAAAAATCTTTAAGTTAATAAATGAAATATGACCAAAACCAAAGTACAGACACTTGAAAAATTATGTTGCTGTCATAACAATAAAACACTGAAATTAGCTAATCCTCACAGATGAAGGCACTGTTTAAAAAATTAGCATTTTAAGGACAACCAGGCCTCACACATTGCCAGATAAATTCATGACCAGGAAGAAATGGGCTAAGTCCTTCCTCATCCTCAACAGAACGCAGAAACCCTGAGTTAGTGTCCAAACTATCCCTTGCGTGGAGGGCTGTTTTATTGATAACCTAGAGACACCAACACCACAATACAAACCTCAACCTAACTTTCCTCCTCAAGCTTGTCTATTACAGGCGAGTCTCATCTTACGCGCATTTAACATGTTCGAATTCAGCTTTGCGCGGTCGGCAAAAACAAACAAAAAACCAGAGAAAAACAACAATTTAAATACTGTACCTGTAGTGCGGGCAATTTCGCCCGCCATTACACTCTATGTAATTTTAACTATACGCGATTTTTGCTTTACGCGCTGACAGCGGAACATAACCCCAGCGTAAGATGAGACTCGCCTGTACTGCAATCCTATCCAAGGTCTTAGATCGGCAAGACAGTTACATAAATGGGGTTTAAACTCCGCTGCAACCTCCAGTATGGAATGGCTACAACAGCTCCATATTGGCCACAAGCGACATTTTGCATTACCATGCAACCTATCACAACAAATATGAGCATTGCTAAAGTCTTTATAAACACATATGCAACAAGATAGAGGGCTGTCAATAAATAAGTTTCCAAGGTAGTCCTTTCCAACTTCATATTGTGGTAGCATTATTCTTCATATTTTTATTAAGAAAATAAGTACTAACCTGTGTCTTTCCAAGTAGTCTGTAAGCCTGCTGCACCTTGGTATAATGATTGATATCAAAGTTCTTGCATATTTTGGAGAGGGCTACATCTAATTGTTCCTAATGTAATTAAAGAAGTAAATGTTAAACATTCAATAAAAGGAATTCAAGGAGTTATTTTATTACAATATGATGTTCTAATCCATATTTATTACGGGGGCTGGTAGCATCATCTATTAAGGTAGCCCGACATTCCCCCTTGTAAGTCTAGGTTTTCGATTCTTTTAACTCGGATAAACTTTAATAAGTTAGACAAATCTTTCAGGCCAAATGACTGCCTCAGGCTGAATTATTTGGCAGTATTTCAGCCAAAATGGCTTAGCCATGTCTAAGATTGAGACTAGTGAAAAATATGTTGTTTTGCTCATGTTAAAAAGATTCTGGAGACTTCTTTGAAAAGCTCTATTGTCCAATACTGTGGAGCAGGGACTTGTAATTTGGCAGGGGCAGGAAGAGGTCTTCATGTCAGGTATGTACGTTTTGCCATACCCATGAAAATCCACCCAAATTTGGCCAAGTTATACGCCTTAAAAAAAACAAAAACACACACAAAAATCACAATTTGCACATGCTCCAAAGAGACTTGTTACAGCTTTGCAGCTGAAAACTCCAAAGATTCAATCCACACTGAGCATGCTCCAGCCTGGGACCAACCAGGACTTCCTCTGCAATTGCAGCCAGGAACCAGAACTTAAAGCGTGTCTCTCCTGTGCTCTCAGTACTCCCCACTGCTGATGCCCAGAGAGCCTTCTGAAGGAAGCTGCCTGATTCAAATGTGCACAGAACAAAAGCTGGATGCCAGGTTCAGATGGGAGTAAACTGGGACAAAAGGCCTAGGAATATACAACTTGGAATGGGGATTTTCAGGCTGGTGAAGGGGGAAGGAAACTGGGACTGAGAGTTGGGACAGAGGAATACTGAGACAGGGAACAGAAGGGGAGAGTGGAATGGACTAGGCAAATAGATTGGGACAATAACAGAGCATGGGGGATATGATTCATAGATTTTTTTTTAATTGGTTTTTTTGTTTGTTTGTTTTTTAAAGACCAGAAGAGACTACTATTCAATCATCTAGTCTGACCTCAAAGCAGAAAGAACCAGAGCAAATACAAAATATTGGGTTTTTCACCTTCCTCCCAGCATTGTGGAAGCACTGGTGGGGTAAAGACAACTAGGATTTGGAAATCTAATATTAAGAGATATAGAAATGTGCAGTTTGTTACAACTTGTGGCCACTGTCCAGTGTGGATAAAGGCTAAAATGGCCAGCTCCCACAGATAAATGAGACCTGAGATTTCACTGGTAGACCCTGCACTGGTAAGGAGGAAGAGAAGCCTGAACTCTTTGCAGACAAAGATCCCTCTTGGTACTCGTCTCTATCCACCTGAGTCCTGGGTGTAGGGGGGTAGGCGAAGAGGTCCACCCCAAGTTACTGGTGATTTGGTTAGAGCTTAGTAACCCCACACCAGACTGAGTTAAATGCCTGGTATGAGAGATGGGTGAGCACATACCATCCCTACCCACTGTTAAGCTAATAAAGTTGCAGTCTACCAGTTAAAATCCATTCCAGGCTCTGTCATTCACCTGTGTATCCTGAACAATCAAGAGCTTGAGTGTTAATCATGAACTACCTGTGAATCACTGCTGCTTCAGCAGAATTTAATACAAGGCAGGATTTACTTTACAAAGCAGCGAGGGAGAACGTAGAGGTGAATGCAGCCCTTTCAGCAAATTAATTCAAAATTTGTTCAGTCGGATTAACACAAGATGAAAAGTTAGTTGCTAATAAGAATCTTGTCAGGTAGGAATCCGTGAAAGAGAAGTGGGAATGTGAAATCTGAGTGAAAACAACAACAAAATATGCCTAGCCTGTGTTAAAAGGGAAAAATAAAAGCAACACCAACCCAACAAGTTTTTTAATCATTCCCGCACAGAATGAGACCATGGAGAAGAAACCTATCACTAGAAGAAAATAAAAGGAAAGTTGTGTTGAGGTTTTAATTAGATAGAAGTGAAAAATAAAAGGGACCATGAGGAAAAAAAATTTAAAAATACTCTACACACTAACCTGACTTTCCACAAAGTATATAGAATGCTGTATCCCGGATAAACTTAATTCCTTTCTGACTGCTTTAAAATTAAATGCTGGCATAAACTTTAATTCAATATAGGGCCCACAAGTATAGCTATCATACCACTGTGAGTTTAACTCTGTGCACACAATTCCATATGAATTGCAGTGTCTAAAGCATTACAGAGAGACAACATTTTAAAGTAATTCGTATGTACAATAACTGCTAACGCCAAAATATTTGAATTAGGAAGTCACAATAAACATCAAAATGTAAAAATATTCACATATTATAAAAATCCAAACACTAATTCTTACCTCTATTTGTTCCAAAGTGTCTTGCAGTTTTGAATTCAATTCACTAGCAAGAAATTAAAATCCCGGTATTACATTGTGTTTAAAACCAAACTAATAACTCACAGTAATGTTTCACAGCAAGATCGCTGTTCTAAAAAGTGTATGTTTGTGTAACATCATGCCACTATTATAATCCATGCTATCTTTCTAAAACCATTCATCTACCATTAAATACAGTGCAAAGTTTAGTGCAGTTACACTAGTAACACCATAGTTATGATGGAAGAGACACTCCATTGGTTTATCCAGTTGGCATCAGCTATTATTGTAGCACATTTATATTGCAATAGTATCCGGAGACTTCTATCAGGAATCAGGACTCCACTGTGCCAGATACAGAGGGCACACACAACACCACCTCTGCTTTCAGGAGCTTATGAGCTAACAGTGCTGAATCCTGCAATCTGATCTGCAAAAGTGAACCCCTGCACCTACACAGAGTCCCAATGAAATTAATGGGCACAGAAATTCCCAAGCACAGATCAAATTGCAGTAGGGTGACCAGATATCACCTGTGAAAAAACGGGACGGGTCGGGGGGTAATAGTCGCCTCTATAAAAAAAAAGTCCCAAAAAACGGGACTGTCCCTATAAAAACGGGACATCTGGTCACCCTAAATTGCAGGATCAGGGCCTGAAGATGGTGATATATAAAGGTTAGTGGGAAGACAGATGCATTTGGACATGCACACTTTCGAAACACATTTTATTATAGGTTGAGAAAGTATAAGTCAACTATTCCCATCTATTCCCTACACCTGACATTTATAACATGCAAATTGCTAGCTATTTAAAAGCACTAACAATATTTAACAAAATTCATCTTTGGCAGAGACTAAGCATGAAAAATTTAAAGTTAGAGTAAAAAATTATTTCTGATTTAAAAATACTACAGAGGTAAAATAGTTCCAACAGAAAACAAGATAACAGTTATGTTGAAAGACTCAATTAAGGATAGGGTATCTTAGAAAGTGACATATGCAGAGGAATATCTTTTTACAAGAAAAAAAATTGTTCTCCACATGAACAATGCTGTTCTCTAACTTGAGGAGATTTGTACAGTAGTAAGAAATGTTCCATTTGAATACGGTATACCCTGGAAACAGTTTTAGTTGAGCTGGTGAGCAATCTCCTCCTGACTATGGACAACGAACAAACATCCATTCTCATCTCAAGAGTGGCCAATTTATAATAGCTATATTTCAGCCAGGTTGGTAAAAGCTTGCTTAATGGGGTTTCCCCTAGAGGCACCTGTCAGAATAGAGAAGAGTCATAAACTTAATTTTTTTAGGCAAGTCACCTCCAATGCAATATTCCATCAAGAAAGCTCAGCAAGCTGCAATCAGCACAGCCAATAGAACAGAGGGAGAGACAGATGGACATCTTAGCAGCATCAAGTACTCTGTCTCGTCAGTACAAGAGAAAGGGGGTAGAAAATCTTTCAGCATTTCATAATGTATCTGCATAAGACCAAAGTACTAAGGTTGCATGGTCTTTGTAAACTGGTATAGTTACTTTTATCCAGAACTCAAAAACCTCTGAGGGCAAAATCCTCAAATACTGATCCTACAACTTCTAGAGAAATGTGATCAAAAGTGTAAATGCTTTGAACCTATCAAGTGATAATTCCCCAGGGCACTTTCAGCAGCCAGATGCAGAATATCGTTGTAAATGATATTCAGTAAATGATCTAGCATAGTACAGTAAATGTACAGAAAGCCAAGAGGGAATAAAAAAAACCTCAAAAGACCTCTTAAGAATCTGTCAGGTTTCCTTCTCTATGATATGCTTGGGAGAAGCCTCAAAATAGGGAGGGGATATTAACAAGAACAGTTCTCCATCCATCCAAGTGAATCTTCCTTGGGTACAGATATACACCTCTACCCCAATATAACGCGACCCGATATAACACGAATTCAGATATAACGCGGTAAAGCAGTGCTCCGGGGGGGCGGGGCTGCGCACTCCGGTGGATCAAAGCAAGTTCAATATAATGCAGTTTCACCTATAACACGGTAAGATTTTTTGGCTCCAGAGGACAGTGTTATATCGAGGCAGAGGTGTACATATCTGTTTCTTGTCCACAGGAAGTAAGTAATATTGTGAAACATAGACTGAGAGGGTAAATCAGAAAAAATGGCTGCACAGGTGTTTTGTTTCTGCTCTTCCGAATAAAGACATGCAGAATAAGCCTGTTTGTTTTCTTTCAAAATTTAAGGAGATTTCATGCTTAACTGATCTTACCAAACTAAGCCTTTAACAGCCTTTTTAATTTCAGAACAGCCGGTCTTTTGGACTTAAGGCACTGGCCAGCAATAAGAGAACATATTTACTGTTTAGCACTTCTCCTGCACAATAGCTATGCATGGTTCTTGGCAATACAGATGAAGTACCTTCTCCAAAGAGCTCACAACCTAAGTTCAGACAAAAAATAAGGGATAGAGAAAGCACAGTAAGATAATGTGATTACTTGAGAGACTGATGTCTTAAGGGTATCTATTTTTCATTATATTTTATTTTAAAATGTTTAAGAGGATGTAGTTTATAAACTTCATTCAAGTACTGGATTTTGAAAAGAGACTTAGAAAAGTCAGAAGGCATCGGGGTTAGTATCAGGAAAGGGATTTAGCAATTGAGAACGGTGGGAAGATAGCACGGGAAAAGGACACAAGGGAAGCAACCAGCTGAACAAACAGGGCACAAAGAGGGATAAAAGGAAAGCATGCAAGCATGTTTCTGTGGCCTGCTTGGGTCACCTGGAGTGCAGCAACACATTCCTCACTACCTGAATCCAGGGATGTAGACAGGCTGGGGTTTACAACTTCAGAGACCACATCAAAACGACAGCTAAAAAGCATGGCGTTCTAGCCAGAAAAGGAAAGTTTGGACTGGACTGTCTTACCACAGGAGGAGCATTTACTGAACTCTTATACATCAAGTCTCTCTTTTTTGCTAATTCCAATTTCTAGTCCATTACCAATCCTCCCTCTACACACACACACACACACACACACACACACACACACACAAAGAGGGAAGGCTTAGCAGCCTTCTACTCTGCTATTCTACTCCTTTTGTCCAGGTGTGACATAAGTGACAACACTTCAACTAAGAGAATGATTTGTTCATTCTGGGAGGGTGGGGGACATTTACATACTTAGGGTGATAATCTCATCTCACGCTGGCATATTTATGCCAAATAAAAGGGACAGAGCAAGTAAAGAGGCACTCCTAAACCCACATACTACTGAGGAAGGATTCCCCCAGTGCAGACAATGCAGAGACAACAAAGATGCCATCCAAGAACCCCCTTGCAAGCCAGAGGGCCATGTTAGGGAAACTGCCTTAACTTAGACCGGCAGCCCTAAAGCTGTATAATTTCCTTTGGGGGCCTCTCCAGATCCAAAGAAGCCCCGCATGAGGTGGGCACAAAGTGGCTTAAAGCTCTTAGAGGCATAGAATGCACTTACCAATAGCATATAAAGAGTTTGCACATGTTGGAAGAAATTTGGCTAAAAACAGCAAAGCTATTAACATTCAAAAAAAGGACTCCGATTCATATGCAGTTTGTGAACACATGGAGCAATCACAACAAGGTAAGTAGCTGTGTTAATATCAGTTATTTACACATTAACAGAACATCACACAGTAGGAGGATTCTATGAGTTCATGACAGCTTTCAGATTAAATTAATGCACTGTTAAGATTTATCTGACAAATTTGGGTTTTTGTTGCTTTTGTTTTTAAATTAGATGAAAAACATTGTTTTCCAACATTAAGATTTGAAACGCACCATTTCCAAGAGGTCTCAAGAAAGTTGAGCCACCAGAAAACCTGCACACACCTCTGCTGCGCGCGAGCACACACACACGCCCTTCCTTAAACATGTACAGTTATTACGGGAAATTTTATCATAGGTGCCCTGTTGTCAGCAACCCCATTCCACCCATCTTTGAAAATTTTGCTTTTGATATTAAAGGATGCTCTTTTGAAACAAAGCTCCAATAGGACAGAATTATAGTTGCTACATCTCTACCTCGATATAACGCTATCCTCGGGAGCCAAAAAATCTTACCGCGTTATAGGTGAAACCACGTTATATCAAACTTGCTTTGATCCACCGGATTGCGCAGCCCCGCCCCCCCGAGCACTGCTTTACCGCATTATATCCAAATTCGTGTTTAGCGGGTCACGTTATATCGAAGTACAGGTGTATGTCTCAATTGTATTTCCTGACTTTCATGCACTTCACTTCTTAACAGTGCTCATATGTATGTACAGATATGGTTAAGATCTCTTAACTGACTGAGGAGAAAACCAGGGGAAATGAATTTTCAATAGGAATCTAGTTTCTTATTTCCATACATTATATAAAAAATGAGTCCAAGTGACAAGAAGAAAAACTTTATTTACATTTATGATGTGTCAGCAAAAAGGAAGTAGCTCTGTATCAGTTTAAGTAGTAAGGGCATCTGACACCTAATTTTTTCTCTCTTTTTTGCAGCAACATCACAAATGGAAAACAAAATTTATATATTATATAAAAAGCATGAAACCACAATACTGAAAACTCCATTGAAAAAATCATTTGTTTTCCCTGTAGAAAGCAAACCATTATCAACCTGACATTAGATTTATGAATTACAACATCCATTTATTAAAAAATATTGTATGCATATTTTACAATGTCATTTCTGACTCAACCATTTATTAATTATTATTATTATTTATTTTGCCAGAAATGCATGAGACAACTTTGGGGAAAATTAGCTGAAATGTTTACCTTGGTAGAAATATAGGGTGGAGCAGGATAGTTAAGGCAGGGATTGTTTAAATTTTTCACAACTGAAAGTTAAACTGCCAGCTTGGCCATAGATTACAACTAATTTGCTTAGAAACAGACTACAGTCTTTCATATTATTAATACAGTGGGTGGCCAGCAGAAAGTACTGATCTGAAATTCAAGTAGGACTATAACATGAGAAGGGGGGGGTCTCAACCCCTC